TTGGTTTTATTTTTTTTTATTTTTTATTTTTTAATACAAAAGTTAAAAAAGATTGGTCATTTAGAAAGGTAGATCTTTGTCTAGAGGGTGAAGGCTAGTGTTGATTACCTGTAATCTTGTACTCTATGCCCATTTTTTTGAATGAGATTTTTCTTATTCCATTCATGAGTTTGTGAAAAAATTGACAGGATGAGAAGAAGATTTAAATGGACAAGAAATATATGGAACTTAAAGGTTTGTCTAATTTGGTTAATCGGGAAGAAGTTTGTAAACCTAAAAAAGGGGAGGAGCGGGTGTTCTTAAAATAAAACTTTTATATGGAGCTATGTTTGGCAAATGACTTTGGAATTAGGTTGATGGTTCTCCTACTCTTTGGAAATATACATAAAAAATTACGAGAATAGGAACTTCATGAGTTTTCAAGATGCTGGGAGAATCTGTTTATCTCATTTCTAGAAGAGTAACTTTGTTAACTTAGATTGTTTTCTTGCTAGTACTCAAGTCCTAATTGGTAATGGCATCCAAGTTTTATTTTGGTTGGATAAATGGACTGGGTACTCCACTCTATCCTCTCTTTTTTGCTTCCCCGTTTAAACTTGTTGCAGATCCTTCTCTGCTACAGTTTCTTCTTCGAGGAGAATGAGACATGGGATATAGGAATGGAACATTGCCTTTAAGAGATAGTCAATTGGTGATTTAGTTGTTTAATCTTTTTTAAGCTTCTCTCTGTTATCAATTCTATTCAGTCATATCATACTGAAGATAGTAGAAAGTGGATGGTGGTTTAAGATTTGGTTGCTTTTCTATTTGGTGGACCCCCCGCCCCCCCCAATCCCTCTTGAAGTCAAATTGTGGGTTGGTCAACACTGAAAAATAAGTTGAATACTATAAGCATAATTTTAAATAAAAAAAAGCATGCAAGTTTCTCTTACTTGTTGTCTATGTGAAGAGAAAGATGAGTGAGGCACATCTATATTTATTTTTGCAATGCAGATTTGTTCTTTCTTTATGGGGGGTGAACAATTCAATATAGGTTAGGCGTTCGTGAGGGATATTGTGAAACGTATTTGGCTTAAGTAGGGAGTTAATTTGGATTCCGAGGCTAAATTGAAAAGAGATGCGTTTTTTTGTGCCATTATTTGGTGTATTTGCTGGGAGCGTAATGATATACTTTTTGCTAATAAGAAGAAGAGAGCCTTGATCTTTTGCATATATAAGATCGTTTACTTTTTTAAAAAATTTAGGGCTACTTTCTCTGCCAGATTCCATGCATCATGCGCAGAAACACCGAAAAATAAAATTAAAGCGAAAATAATAGGAGGCTCATTCCAAAAGATAGCAATTCTATTGCTGGGGTGAACAGAGAGGATTGCTCACAAATCCTGCCTTCCTTGACTAGTGGAAAGAGAACCTTGGTTTTTATTTTTATTTTTTTGATGATATTGTTTTCTTCTAAGATGGAGATGGAGATGGTATGAGAAGTTAGCTTGCATTGGTTTGTACTGCTTATTTTGTGCAGGCATGTGTTTGTATTAAGGGAAAACTATGCGGTGTGTCACTTCGTAAGTCATGTAAAGACTATGAACTTGTGAGTAGGGGTGGTAAACGATCGAATCGAATCGAATACTAAGGTGTTCGTATTTGTATTTGTTTAAAATTATCGAATTCGAATGCGGACTCTAATATTCATATATCTAGGTTTTCGAATTCGAACTCGAATACTTGGTATTTGATAAATATTCATGAATATTCATGAATACTTATCGAATATTAAAGTATATTTATTCTGCTAAAAATTTTGATTTTCAAATAATATTAAAATTCATAAATAAAAATTATTCCTTTTTAATATATGATGTATATATATTTAAATCAAAATTTTAATTAGAAAATAGATTTAAGATTATTTTAGACTTAAAATCAGTATATAAAAGTTAAGTAGAAATGGTAAGTGAATTAAAAATATGACATCATATGTGCAATAATACAAATAATAAGCTGTGATTAAATTTTAAACGAATATTTAATAGACAAACGAATCGAATATACATCTGGTTAAATTCTATTCGTTAGTAAACTCGAATACTAAAAAGTATTTGTTTAGTAGTAAATGAACTACCAAATCGAATATGATCGAATAGTTATTCGAACAATTATCGAACTATTTGTTAATTATTTAGTTTATTTCCACCCCTACTTGTGAGCCTTATCTTTGGAGTTAGTAGTTTAGCTCTTTTTTATAACAACCGTTTAGTTAATTTAGCTGGCTAGGGGCATCTTTGATTTTCCATCCTCTTCTATCAAAGAAAAAAAATCATCATGTCATAATGAAATATCTATATGTTCTATATATTTTATATTAATGGTAATGCTGTCGTGAATCTTAATAGGGTGCTCTTAGGGCCTCGTGTGTCTCTAAGAAAGGATCTCTTTTTTTCGTATGTGAAGTCTATGTGGATTATATACAATAAGGTTAATTTTGACATAAAAAAAAAAGAAAAGAAAAGACCTCTGTAGGAACATTAGCATTATTAAGATGCTTGTGTTGTGTGTCTCTCTCGTCTTTGATACCTCAATTGTAGCCTTGGAAACAAAAGTCAGCGTTGAAGTCTAAAGGAAACATTGTGATCGGTGCTCACGTTCCCTCAAAGATGCTGATAACAATTTCTATAGGCTTCTCTATCGCTAGAGTCGATATGAGAGGGGCTGTTTGGTTGTTTTTTTTTAATTTAATTTAATAAAATGGGAGGAAAGTTAATGTAGCAGTAAATGATATACATCCTACTAAAGAGTCATAGAGTGCACTTTCAATAATTATCCTATTTTAGCTCAGAAAAATTTCCCAATAACCCAAAATATGGGACAAACAGGGAGGACAGGTGAGGTGTCCCCCTCATATTGCATAATGAGTTAGTCATCATTAATGATGGCCAGCTTATTATGCAATAGGTCGGGGACACCTCACATGTCCCCCCTATTGGTCCCATATTTTGGGTCCCTGTAGCAAAGTCATTTAGCTTGAAGTTAGGAGGCTGTTTGGTTGTTGTTGGTAAAGTTGTGTATTTATGACACAACTTGGAAAGTTGTTGTCCACCTCATCAATTTTACTTTTATACTTTTCTTTGTTTATTTTTGATTCCATTGGAATCATAAATTGCTTGTTTGGTTTGCAAATATAACTTTAATTGTTTGTTTGAAAAGTGTAAAAAGTGGTCCCTACACAAATGATCATATTGGTTGGAATTAATTTTTATTATTTTTTCCTGATTTTAATGCCAGCTTTCTCCTAAAATCATGTCTTTTTTTTATGAAATCACTTTACAAGCCACATCAGCATATGAAATCACTTTACATTATTTTCACAACTACAAACAAACAATTGAAAGTGATGAAAGCTGACATTAGGACCCACTTTTTTACACTTTCCATCCTTTTACATGGTAAAAACATACAACCAAACAGCCCCTAGAGGGAAAATATGAGAACAAGCCGTATCCACATCAGCTTTTCTTTTGTCAACCGAATAGTATAAAGCATGAAAAGTTACTTTGGTCCTACTTTGTCACTTCAAAAACTGAACAAAACCAAACACCCCCCTGAAAATCTCTCTAGCTCTTATTATTATTACCTTTTTTCCAAAGAAAAGAAACAGAAGCTTATGATTTTGATTAGCTGAAATAACTGATACATTGTGGAGAACGACATTATTCATAATTTTAAGTTGTAATTCAACTATAAGTTGGTATTGTATATCAAACTAACATGAATTCTCAAAACTAATAGACATTTCCCAATCGGTCGCAATATTATGTTTTTCATCCCATTGCTCTTCGGAAAAAAACTCGAGCTGTTTGCGTATTAATGTAAATTCTCCAACTGAGCATTATGAATTGCACGCTGCATTTCAATTTTTATTGAACAATCTACATCCCTAAAAGTGACCTTATTCATTATGGTCAAGAGATATTGATGTTAGAAACATACAACAAACGGAATATGCACAGTGTGACTATCAATGTTTAAGGGCATACTATTACTAATTAATCTAGCAATTGAATGATCTTTTGAGCTTATACTCTTCCAATAAACACTCCTCAATTCAAATATTTGCCAAAGCATGACAAAGTTCCGGTTCACAAATTTCATGGCATTGACAAATTAAGGACTAAAATATGATTCGTTTTGTTTTTGTTTGAAGTTTTTTTTTCCCTCTCATATGGCTATATATATCATATCTGGCAGCCGAAATCTTCTAAAACTTTGTTTCTCTTCATGGATCAAACCCCCCTGATGATAACAACTTACAAGGGGTTACATCACCACTTCAAACAATGAAATAAAGTAGCAGTGGATTTATCGTGAAAAAGAAGTTGCAAAAAGACCCTTAATACTGTTAATTACGGTTTGATCAAACTGTAAGACAATCCTTCTTGTGCAATTTTTAGATTTGTCATGGAAATTCTCAGTTTCTATCTTAGATTAGGGGTTTTATTTAAAATTTCCCTAGGTACAAACGTTCTTAAATAAAGTATGAGTTGTCCGAGATCTCTAACGATCTGGGCTTTTGCAAAAAAAATTTTCTGTAGTTCTTTCAAGAATATTTTAGTTTTTTCAATTTCTTGACATATACAAGCCACTCAAATTTGATAGATAATATTTTAAAAATAATTATTTAGACAATGGTTTGAGGGGGGGAAAACGAAATAAAAGACGCATGACATGCGATGGCCGATCATCTAAATTTTAAATGCTTCACGTGTTTCATAAATTTATTGTCACAGTCAAACGAATATGTAAAAACTTACATTTCCTATGTAAAATCGTACAATCTTTTTTTTTAATTACTGAGCAGCTATTTTAATAAAGAAAAACAATAATAATTGCAGTCTGGACCCCGGTTGAGGAAGGAAGGGCGAAAAAAAAAAAAAGAAACGACTGGCTGTCGGANGAGCGAGCGAATGGCTCGCTTTTATTCCTCCCCCCTCGTTTCTGAAGAGAGAAAAAAAAGAAAGAGAGAGAGAGAAAACAGAGACCAAACAAAAAGAGAACCTCCACCTCTTTCTCTCTCCTCTCATCTCTCTCTCATCGTCGATTCTCGTCGATTTTGATATTTTCCCGTCGGCAATCGCGTCCCCCTTGATGCTGTGGTGTCGATGGAGTACGGTTCTAGGGCGTCGGCCGTGACGGAGGCCTCCTCCTCCCTCTCGCCCACCGCCATTGACCAAGGTTAGGGTTTCACTTCTTCACTTCTCTGCTCCTTTTGACAAGATCGTGAATTGATGTAGAAGATTTGATTTTTTTAAAAAAAAATTGAAATTTCCGGTTTAAGCGAAGGTAATTCCTCATCTTTAGATGAAATCGCGAGCTCTCAGCCTCTTGTCACTTGAATTTTGCTTGAAAGACCAATTTCATTACAATTTTTCATTTTGCTTGCAATTATTCCCAAATTCTGCTGGATACACCAATGCCAATTGGTAGTTTATAAGGTTCTTTCTAATCTAATGAGAAGTCCCGTGGTAATACTGCAGAGACACTTTGGCAGATGAGGTTGAGAGGGAACGAAACTCTGGAGACCGGAGAGTATCCCGAGCGTCCGGGAGAGCCCGACTGTGCTTACTATATGAGGACCGGGATGTGTCGATTTGGGATGACATGCCGGTTTAATCATCCACCCAACAGAAAGCTGGTAACTTGATTTCTCACTCGATTGCTACTTGTGTCATATTGTATTAGGTGTGTATAATTGTCCTTGGTTGGTCCTGTGTAGTTGGATTCTGATTGTATCTGCAATGCAACTGCACGCTGATAAATTATCCATGTTGGTTGTTGGGTTTGGTTGGAACACTTTCTGTAGTCCCAACCAACCCTCTTAAATTCACTTGTGTTGAAACCTAAACTCGTCTGAAATTCATTATTAGTAGCAACAGTGGCGGAGCTTAGTTGTTCTTTGGGGGGGCGATCGCCCCCCCTTCGTTTCAAAATTTTTTTGATGTATTATATATATTTGGGGGGGCGATCGGCTTGTTGACAAATATTATCCTGCTGATTTTGATGGTCAAGATAAGCTCATTTTGAAGTTTCAACTGGAACATTTTGTCCTCGACGCCCGCAATGATCCAAAATTGAGAAGTCTTTCAATTATTTCCGAGTTATGTGTGGCATTGGCTGAAACTGAAAAGAAAAGTGAATATTTTCTTGTTGACCGCTTAATTCGCCTTGTTCTAACTCTTCCGGTGTCTACAGCTACTACCGAGTGAGCATTTTCTGCCATGAAAATTGTAAAAACAAGGCTCCGCAACAAGATGGAAGACACATTCTTAGCAGATAATTTAGTTATGTATATCGAGAAAGAGATTGTTCAAGAAATTGATACTGATTCTGTGATTGATTATTTTAAGAAGATGAAAACTCGGCATGCAAAGTTTTAGATGTTTATATAACATTGAATTAGTGATTATTTTGAATGAATTAAGTATTTATGAGTTTATTATGTAACTTCGCCCCCCCAAATTATTTTTTCAAGCTCCGCCACTGAGTAGCAATTGCATGGGTTTGGTGGTTCTTTTCTTCAGTGGCATAAACTTTGTAGGAGTTAGTTAGGCCATGTGGTGTTTAAGTACTGTCCTGATTTCTCACTATTTCCTAGCATTTACCCGCTTTGTTTTTGTGCATAGCATATGTACTTTGGGACATTGGGAACTTTGCCAGATTGTGCTTGTGGATCTTTTACAACTTTCTCTCAAATAAGGGGGAGTGTTTGGATTGATGGGAATGGGATGAAAGTGTGAAAAACTTTTCATTTGCAAGCGAAGCCCCATTATTCTGGTCACCAAATCAGTGAAAACTCTTTTTTTCCCCTTCTTTTTTTCATATGGAAGATGAAATAGGCAGTGAAAGAAGGGAGAAAGTGTGGTATTTTACAGTGTTTTTTTATTAGCTGTTCTTTATATAACATGTTCTTGGGCCCATTTTTCACTTTTTGATGATGATTTCTGGACTTTCAGGGATTAGTCACTCCTCTGCTTCTAAGACTTACTTTAATCAAAACAAACTCCCAAAGTGGTTGTGCTGCATCTTCACACTTCCGCTTTCAATCTAGTCAAGTCAAGCACCAGCGAAGCACTTACTGATTTTGACATGTGTCCTTTTTTTTTGCTTTCGCATGAACATTAATCTGTGTTAGTGCTGCCAGATTAACAGAATGCAGTTTCAACTTACTTGAGAAGGGAGAATATAAATAAGTACATTATGATACACTAGTAGCCTTCACATTTCCAACTGCATATTGGGAGATATCCGAAGTGTTGGTGTGGGATTAATATTGTTAGAGTGTCCTCTTCACATGATCTGTATTTTCTTTTCTCCTTTCCCCCTCATATCTTAATTAATTATCCCAGACTGCTCACATTTCACTTAGATAAGGTTGTCACTATTAAAATTGAAGTCTAACTTATCTTTAGAGGGCCACCAGTAACTTGTTTCCTCCACTTCTTTGACCCTGTTGTTTCTTTGTTAAAATGAAGGTCATTTTTGAATGTTGTGTTTGAGGGAAGAATAGAAAGCCAAAGGAAAAAAGAAAAAAGAAAAAGAAAAAGAAAACATACAGTCAATAGAAATTGGTATATGTAATTTGATAGACTTTGAATGATCTTCGTGAACTTTTTATGAGCGCTGGTTAAAACCAGATAACCTATGACTCTATCAAACTTTTGATGCAGACTGAGCCAGATAGTGAACTTGACATATTTTGGCTGTAGAATCCATTGTTTGGACATAGACGCAGTGCATACTTCTGTCCTGTCCCTTAGGACTTGCGTTGCACATGTTCATTGAATTACATTCGAAAAAATGTGGCCTACAGAATATTTTGGAAGCTCATGCATACAAAATTTGTAGGAATCTCGTTGATGATCATGGAACTTTTGATCATTTTACTAGTGCATCCGACCCAATTTGAATTACATCTTCTTGATTGTACACATTACTGCTCAAGACCATCTTGTTTGTTGTTTACTCGGACATTCTGAGGTGAGACCTTTATAATTTTTTCTCTCTAGAGATGACAGCTAACAGCTTGCTCTAAGTAACTTACACTTTGAATGTATCAATCCAATTTGCTTGCTTGAAATGTAAAATTAGTTGTTGAATGTATCTTTTTCAATGGTTCCCTCATCAATCATGTTTCAGCTCTGTTTTATCAGCATATCCTCGATCGAAGTTGAGCATCACTATGTCGATGCCCTTTATAATATTAAGATGGGCTGTAGCTTTAATTTTTCATATGACCATGTTGGATGTAAAACACAGCGGGATCAATATCTTTTGACTTGTCTTATGCTTCTTGAGAACCGGTCTTTGGAGTGGTACCTTTGATCTTGGTGGTTTTTAAATTTACGATGTATCTAGAAGCAGAGGGCTAGTCAATAGAATTCCTATTTGACTTTTACTTGGCAGCCAATATGACCTGCTTAATCTCTATCTAGGTACACCAGAATAGCTTTCTATAGGGCTGTTTGGTTCACTGCAACTGTAGCTGGGACATTTTGAGACAATTGCAGCTGTTTGTTTACTGCAAACTAATAAATAAAATTGCATTTGCAGTTGGAAAAGGTATCCCATTGTGATTGTAGTCAACGACTTGTGTGGATTTTGCATAAGTCATATTTGCATCTTTTTAAGCTATAAATGGGGATATATTTATGTATATGTATGTATGTATATATATGTATATATGTATATGTATGTATGTCCCAATAACAGGAATATATTGAGCTTCCAACCTTTTTATACCTCCTGGGTTAGTAGATTTAATTTGTGCTCCAGTGCAATTTTATGGTCAATTGGACTCAAAAGATAGATTTAGCTGAGAAGCCAAATTGGTTTATACGTAAAACCACTAAGGTCTTTTTTAAAATAAAAGTGAGAGGTAAAACCAACCATTCAGATCCTTGCTGATGTGGAAATTATCCACAGATTATTGCATACTGAAACTTTAAAATCGAACTCCCACCTCTGATTATCCATCAAGTAGCAGGGGAGTTGAACCATTCTTCACAGAGCAACATGCACTATACTATATATATATATATATATATATACTATATATATATATGAGGCCGAATGAGTCATGCCTTGGTCACCAAACACAAAAAATGGGCTAGTTTGTGAGGCTGGCCCATAATCCCCTCCACTCATTCAAATGGCTTGCATATCCCCATGTAACTCAATTCAACCCATGTTTGAATATGGTTCCCCATTTGAATGAGGCGAGGGCATATCCACCTCGCTACCAAGCCACAAAATTTGTGCTTGTAACCAAGCATACCCATATTTCTCTCTCTCTCTCTCTCTCTCTCTATATATATCATAATATATAATATATATATATAATATATATAATATAATACATATATATTATATAATATATATATATAGAAAAATGAGAAACTCGGTACAAGTTGCCAAGCAACTTCCGTACGCTGATATTGGCCTAATCTTCTCCCGATATCTACATTTCAGTGGGTGAAGCCGTGCGTTGAGCTCTATTCTCGCACATGGTTGATGTAGGACGGGCAAAATTAACGGCCACATCATTACCAAGGTTACTTAAGCAACTTGGTACCAATAGTCCCCATTTTTTCTTCATATAATAATATAATATTATATATATATATATATATATATATATATATATTATATAATATATATATATATATACATATTGAGGAGTTATGTCTCTATAAGTCACGAACAAAATGAATGTTTATAGCACGCCTCGGGAACCTTCGAATCTGTCTAACTTATAAGACCAAATCTGACTAATATGAATCCTAACAAAAACGCCTGCATGAAAAATGCGGTTGTCATCTATACAATGGGGATGGAAAATTCCCATTTTACCCCCTATTGTTCCGATGCATGGATGAGAACAACCGACTTGCATGCGGACGGTTTTGATGGGATTTGGACTCAAATCTGATATAGCCTATAAATATAGATTGTGAAATTCTACTAATTTTTTTAGCATATTCCAATCAACCAACTAAATTCATCCTTTCGGTATGTGATTTGGAACATAGTGGCAAACATATATATAATTTTTTTCACAGGCTTCTGCTGCTTTATATCAAGTTAGACTAAAAAAATAAAAACGGACTATACCATTTCTGCTTTTCACAATTTATCCACTGGATTATCGTATTGATAATAGTTCACTTTAACAAGTAAAACTTGATACTCCCTTGTGTGTGTACTATATAACTGGCTCTACACACCTGAACACAGGAATTTATGTATTCTGGTATCTAATTTTTTACTCAACATGGGTATGTATAGGCCATCATTGAGATTTGAGTGAATATTAATGAATAACTGCAAGAATGTGAGAATATATTATTCTCCTCTTTTTTGCATGTCCCTTTTGAATTAATTGCCATATCATTCATCCTAGAAAAAGTCTCATTTCAAAATAAAACTTCTATATCCTGGATAAGCCTATGCCGGAATTCCTCTGCCAGCAGTTTGTTTAATGTCCTTCACACATATAGACACTCTAAAGATTTACATGATACTTTGGTTTTACAGGTTTCTAGTGTTATTGACTGCTATATGAGTATTCTGTCTAATTATTGATCTTGACTAAACCTTGTTAATTGTCAGGCTGTTGCTGCTGCAAGGATGAAGGGTGGATATCCTGAAAGAATAGGGCAACCTGAATGCCAGGTATACATGTGCTATATCCTTTTTCCTTCACACATAAAGGAGGATATATTGTATCAACTTGTTGATGCAAATCTGTAAGAAAATTTTTTGGTTGGTAACTTATGAGTTTGAAGATGGTTTACTCATTCTCAGCATCTGACGTATGATACCTTAAATTGTAAATGTCGTGTATATATATATATTAAGTAATTTCCGAACATAACCTTCTCCAGAATAGGGATTTGAGACTTTCAGTCCATTGCTTGTGGTATGCTTCTTTTTTATTGTGGTTGACTTTGGGGTAAACAGTTTACTGTTCAACAATGTTTATATTGAATTCTCATCCTTTGAACCATCAGGTAATATAATTCAATTTTCTTTCTTACAAAGGTTTGACATGTGCTCCATGAAAGTGACACCTCCAAGCTATGCAACTTTTGTCTTAGAAAGGCAACCGGTTTACTCATTTACCTGGTTCATTTTGAAATTTTAAATATGAGGTGTATCCTTCTGACCTCCGCCCTATAAAGGCTAGAAAATTTCCTCTCATAATGTTTGTTTTGGCATATGCCTTGTACGTATGCTCTCCCTATCACAAGTCACATGCCTTCCCTCTACCAAGTTTCTATTTCTTAATTATTCTTTTTTATTTGGAGACTTGCCTTTTCCATTTGAGGGTTAATTTGGAAAAGGCAGAAGGTCAGAATCAGAGGGCTTTCTTGCGAAGCTTTAATCAACAGAACTAGGGCCCAGAAGGATGACCAGGTTAAGAACCACAGCTGATGCTTGAATTGGGATTTAAGATATAAACACTGTTTCTGGATGAGATGCACTGCAATTTTTTACGCTTACAATCAGTAATAGCACACTCAGACAACTATCCATGCCTATTAACATGATGTTCGAATAAGTGACACAGTAACTTACCTTTACATATAACAGGCTTTTATATTGTTGTGATACCTGCATTGTTGTCTTGATGACTCAACTTCTTGATTACTTGCTTCACATGGTTTGTGTTAGCCCCCCACCCCACCCCCAACCCTATAATTTCAATATGCTGTGACATTTTTCTCAGTGTCTGGTATTTCATCTATGCATATGCTTCTACTGCCATCACTTGTTATTTGTTTGTTACGTTCAATTGCAAAATTACTCGCTAGGAAATGAAATATCATGGTTAAATGATATTGTTTTGTAACTTAAACCAAAATAGAAAGTCACCATATTTGGTATGGTCTCATGTCATTGAACTGATAAAACACAATAGTTCAATAGATCAATTAACTAAGGGTTTCTTTGGATCTATATAAGTCTACAATAGGTACTTGGGAGTAACTCTTTGTAGAATCACTGGTCTTCAATTTCTGATGAATACTTTATTTCATGAAGTCTTTGTGACCTCTAAAGATAGCTCAAAAAATCAGCGAGCTTTACAAGAAACTTATATTAGGCTCGAGTCGAAGGGTTTCAGAGTTCCTAAACATTTCTGATATTATTGGTTCATAGATTTCTCCCCTCAATTTGGGGCATGTTGTGTATAGAATATCTTTTTGTCCTCTTTGGGTGATAGCCGAGACCCCTGAAACTTGTGTTTTAATGCCTAAAGAGAGGCCAGCTAGAGCCCTTTATCTTTTATAGGACAGGTAGTAGATGTGCCATATATATTTATATGATTAATAGCCCTCCCTTGCCCCTCCTACTTCTAGCTGCCATACCACTTTTGAGAGCGGGAAAATGCTTTTAAAATATTGAATTTAGGCGTCTAATAAATTATGTCCCGAGGGTCTAAACAATTAATAATGACTAAAAAGTTATGGATTATAGCTCACGAAATCGTGAATTTTGACCTCCACAAAATTATTTGCTAACTGGTCGAAACAACTAAAAATGATAAAAAATCGTGTGTTATAGCTCATGAAATTGTAAATGTTAGCCTCCGTAAAATTATTTGTCAATGGGTTGAAACAACTAATAATGGCTAAAAAATCGTGGGTTATAACTCATCAAATCATTATTTTTGGTCTTCACGAAAATAATTGCTAATAGTTCGAAATGACTAAAAATGGCCTAAAAATCGTGGGTTAGCTTACAAAATTATGAATGTTGGCCTCCACAAAATTATTTGCCAATGAGTCAAAGGGACTAAAATGAAATAACTAAAAATGGCTAAAATGATGGATCATAGCTCCGGAAATCTTGAATTTTGGCCTTTGCGAAATTTTTGTCAGAAGGTCAAAACAAGTAAAAATGGCCAAAAATCGTCGGTTATAGCTCAAAAAATCATGAATTTTGGCATTTGCAAAAATTTTTACCAGCTAGTCAAAACAACTAAAAATGACCAGAAATTGTGAGGTCTAGCTCAAAAAATTATGAATTTTAGCATCTGCAAAATTATTTGCTAGTGGGTCAAAATGAATATAAATCGCTATAAATCGTGGGCGCTCACGAAATTATTTTCAAACGAGTTGAAATAACTAGAAAAGACCAAAAATTATGGGTTATAAGCTCACGAAATTTTGAATTTTTTCCCTTGCAAAATTATTTCTTGATCGGTCAAAATGACTAAAAATAGCCAAAAACTATTGGTTAGCACACGAAATCATGAATTTTGACCTCCGTGGAATTATTTACCAACTGGTCGAAACGATTAGAAATGACCAAAAATTGTGGGTTATAGCTCACTAAATCGTAAATGCTAGCCTTCGCAAAATTATTTGTGAACATCGAAACAACTAATAACGGCTAAAAATCATGGGTTATAACTCATGAAATTATTATTTTTTGCCTTCACGAAATTAATTGCTAATAGTTTGAAATGACTAAAAATTGCCTAAAATTGTGGGTTATAACTCACAAAATTATGAATTTTCGCCTCCATAAAACTATTTGCCTACGGGTCAAAGGGATTAAAATGGTGAAAAATTGTTGATTATATAGCTCATGAAATCGCGAATGTTTGCCTCAATAGAATTATTTACCGACGTGTTGAAATGACTAAAAATGCTTAAAATTTGTGCATTATAGCTCATAAAATCATGTATTTTGCCCTCTATAGAGATATTTGCCAGTGGGCTCATGAAATTGTGAATTTTGGCTTCCACAAGATTATTTGCTAACCGGTCCAAATGACTAAAAAATAAAAAAACATCATAGGTTATAGCTCACAAAATCTTGAATTTTGAACTCCGCAAAATTATTTATCAATGGATCGAAACAACTAAAAATAGCAAAAAATCATGGGCTATAGCTCTCGAATATTTACAAAGTAAATGAATTAATGTTTCAAGATAGGTTAAAGCTGTGATACTGTAACGATGCCGCACAAGGTCTTTCTAGGTAATAAATGCCGTTTCTATATATTAATAGAAAGGGAAATGCTCCTATGAGGAAAATGGCATGCAGGAATTTAGTCCATGATTTGTCCAATAATTCAGCTAAAATGGAGATCATACTCTTCTTAGGGAGGGGGACAGTCTAACTACATATGCTAAAATAAGACAGCTTGGAATCTTTTTAAAGTCGATATTTGAACTTAATATAATCTCATATTTTGAATGTTAAAAAAGAACATAAAGGAATTAGCTTGGTACTTTCTGTATGGAGAAAACAGAAAGCTACATAAGAGTGACTACTATCTTGAACATTGGATCTCTGTGTTTTACATTGGGTAGGAGGGGACTCAGAGGCGTTCTGGGGTCTGATCCATCTGATGATAGTTGAGTTTGTGAGGCTGTTATCTGTTTGGATCAGATCAATATATATATCTTTGTATGCAGTCTATTTGTCTAAAATTTATGTCTAAAAACTTTTTCTATTAATCTTTAGGCTCATGCTTTTTAATGTCTTTGTGATTATTTCAGTTTATTTCTGTTGTTATTTTGTATGGTACATTGTGGTTAATTTCTTTCCTTTTTCCCTTTTTCAGTATTACCTAAAGACGGGTACTTGCAAGTTTGGTGCGACATGCAAATTTCACCATCCTAAGGACAAGGCAGGAATTTCTGGAAGAGTTCAGTTAAATGTTTTAGGCTATCCATTGCGTCCGGTTTGTGCTTCCTCTAGCTAATATCTTAGCCTTATACAACTTTTTTCATTTATATTTTAATAGATGCTTAATTTAATTGATTTATGCACTTTTTAAAAGTTCTAATATGTATGTCATACATTGCTTTAGTAGAATTTTTCGTCAAATTATATATGCTTTTGTTTTCATTATTGTCTTTATGCATTGTAGAACGAAAAGGAATGCACGTATTATTTAAGAACTGGACAGTGTAAGTTTGGGAGTACTTGTAAATTTCACCATCCGCAACCATCAAATGCGATGGTTTCACTCCGTGGTTCTCCTATTTATACTTCTGTACATTCACCTGCAACGCCTGGTCAACAGTCTTATTCTGGGGGAATGGCAAACTGGCAAAGGGCTTCTTATATTCCAAGTCCTCGCTGGCAAGGTCCATCAAGTTATGCACAACTAATACTTCCTCAAGGACTGGTTCAAGTTCCTAGCTGGAATACATTTTCTGTAAGCTCTGCATCCCCTCTATATTATGTTATTTTCTTACATCGTCCTGTTCATAGAAAAGCAGATGTATCTAGTCATGGTTTACAATGAAGTTCAAGATATATTCTTTTTCCTTAAATTGTTGTTCTGGCATGTTGTAATGTTGTCTAGATTTTGTTTTCTTGTGAACCTTTATTCTCGTATTATACGGTTATTTTTTAAATTGCCAAAAGTTTAGTGGAAGCCCCTGATGTAATGGCCTAATATCGTTTGGGTTCTTAATGTTTGCAAGTCATCAGTGGGGATCCTTAATGTTACCTTTGTCATCAGCCTAGGACCTTTTTACAAACTTCCCTTAAATCTTGCTGACGTGACGGTGATATGGCAGGACAAACTTGTCATTTCACTACTTTTTTGCTTATATGACAGGCTAAATTTGGACTCTCACTAATTTTTTTTATATGATGTGGCAGTGATTAATAGGTAGACTTACACTTTTTTCTGATGTTGTAGTGACATGACAGAGCCACATCATCGCCACATCAGCAAGATTTAACGGAAGTTTGTAGAAGGACCTAGACTGATGACAGAGATAATGTTAGGAATCCCTACTGATGACTTCTATACATTAAGGACCCAGAGGATATTTGACCAATATATCAGCAACCTCCATTTAAGTTTGCCTTTAAATTTTATTTGAAACCATGTTTTTTATGAATTATATTATTGTAGCTCCATTGCTTGGGTTTAAATGTGATTGATTATGCTCATTATTTAGAATACATGTTTCTCTATAATACCTCCGGCAGTATCATTGTCAAAGGTCCCTACCAGTAAACCTCAAGTTGTGGTGAGGGTAAAGAGTTATAATTTTATATTCTACATGCCTCTTGTAGGTTGAGGTCACTTTCGTGATCGAAAGCTAGACTCATGGAGCGGGATTTTTTTATTTTTTAAAACCCACTTTGAATGTGGCCACTAAGTTTCGAACCTATGATGTTCTTGGACCATGTCGGAGGTTCCTCTTGCTGCACCAAAACTCCAAAGTGAGGGTTAAGGTTTATACTTTATCCTCTAACAACTATCACATATTAACTGAGTTTCACGTACAAATAGTAGGCACAAACTTGTGTTTCGTGCTCTGACACGGAGAGGAGTGCTAGACATGTCAACTGTTCAAAATACAGACAGAATAGTATGGTATATTTTGTGCATATGCCATCTATACATATGTATACTTTAACACGTATATTTGTGTATTTTTTTTGTTATTCATATATAAAAGAGTCTATTTTCAATAAAATGATCTACAAATAATTCTGTTTTGTCACGGGGCGCATATAATACTATATCTCGAGGTAATTAGTGTTTTACAAATTTGAATGTGTCAAGATAAAGATGGGCATAAGCCTCCTGCTTAAACGACTTGATCATGAGCAGAAATCAAAATTGTTTAATGATGCCAGTGTTCTCTTATATTAATTTGGTTCATTAGTAGCTGAACTTATGTATTTGACATTAAGTCTGATCCTTTTACAGTATCGTGCTGTTGAATATTTTATTTCCTTCTTCCGTCGATTTTCTTTAAGATAATTTATTTTATAATGTAAAACTGCATAAACATTTGATTTTCTATTTCCAGAATTTTTTGTTATGGCAGTTTCTTTATATATTGTTCATCTCTTGTGACTTGTCCAAACAATGGACAAATATTATCTTGACAGTATAAGTTGCTTATTAATTTATTAGCAAGGCCAAATGATTGTATCCTATATCTTCCTGCAGGGACAGTTAGGATCAGCATCATCTCCTGAGAGCCAACAGACACCCAGTAGTAATCAATACTATGGAATGTCTCATCAAAGTGAGACAACTACAGTAGCACAAGGAACAGCTGCTCCTTACCGTTCAGGTTCAATGCCAGTAGGTCAGTATGCAGTGCAGACAGAAAACATATTTCCTGAAAGGCCTGATCAGCCTGAATGTCAGTTCTACATGAAGACTGGAGACTGCAAGTTTGGTGCAGTCTGTAGGTTTCATCATCCCCGGGAGAGATTTATTCCTGCTCCCAATTGTGTTCTGAGTCCATTGGGCCTTCCACTACGCCCTGTAAGTTATATTTTCAACCTCTTTATGTTGTAGAATACTATACCTGTTAAGCCCATGCTTGTACCATCTGTGGCATCTATCTCATTGTCCTTAGAACGCCTTTTATTACTGAGAGGAAAAGCTGAACCATTTGACCTCTTACACATTGTTTAGGTAATTTTCACTGTTTTCACTGCTTGCCAAAATATTATGTTATGCTGTAAATGTGAATAATGGCACAGTTTGTAATGAAATCTTTTGTTGCAGTGCCATATTGAGTAGGAAATAGGAATGATGAAAACTATAATCCTGATTTAATTTGATTACTCAAACAGCGTAAGAATAAAGCAGAATCCAATTCAGATTTTGGATGTGCTAATATAATCCAAAACAAGACCATTAATATTTTCGCATTGAAGCTTATGTCGGCAACTAAGAGAACCTTTCCCAGCCTGCCTACTGGATTTATCCTATCAAATTGATCTGCATGTACTCTCATTATACACTTGAGAAGGTACATTAATGCATTCAATCTGTAATTGACCTGTCTTTCTGTATGTTACTTCTATTATGATCTGTTTTTGCTACATTTTCTTGATTGTAAATGCAAAGCAAATGGGAAGCAATTGCTTTTAGAATCTAAGATTATATACCTCCTAATAATATTTGTCATGATTTTATCATGTCAGAAATCATATCTAGTCAGCAAACTGTACTTAGTAATTGAATACAAACAAGTATTCTTTTTCTTCAGTGAGGAACATCTCCGGAGCTATTCAACAAATTTTTTATTAAGTTGTATAGCCGACTTTGAATTACTTCATTCCTTCTAATGTTCAACAGGGGGAACCCTTATGCGTCTTTTACTCTCGCTATGGTATTTGCAAATTTGGGCCAAACTGCAAATTTGACCATCCAATGGCAGCTCCTATGGGAATCTTTGCATACAGTCTTTCAACATCCTCATCACCTGATATTCCAGTGGTTCGGCGTCTATTGGGATCCTCTGCTGGACCTCCAGCATTAACATTGTCGTCAGAAACTTCTGTTGAAGCTGTCCCTGTGTCCAGAAGAATCTCTCTATCCGACTCACGGCAAATGGCTTCTGGTGATGAAAATATTAATACAGAGGGTTCACATGCCAGTCAAAGCATTGGTCAAGTTTCTTCTTTTTCATAACCTTTTGAGATCAAAATGGATCTCATCTGTAAATCAAGTTCCAAGTGGTGGAATTTACAATTCTCATGCTGGTTGAAACTGTTCATCCTGAGCTGCTCGTTTTTGTTTCTGTTGTCTAAATCTGCATAATGTTTCAGTACAGTAGGATAATCTGTTAAGGATCAGTCTACGCCTTGTATCTGTTCGCTACAACCTCCGATCTTTTTATGTATCCTGGGTAGTATCTCACTCCCTCGTGTCATCGTCCTTGCATGTTATTTCCTTGTTGAAGTCTGCCCGTCTGTTTTTGGTCTAGTTTGTTGGATGTAGTTTTTTCTTCATCCAGTACATATCTGTAGTATTCCCCTTATTCTAAGGTAAATCCTCCCTCCCTCAATCTGTTGTAGATATATTGGAGAATTGCCCCCAGTTGTGAAACAACTTGGTTGTTAAAAATTGCTGTTTGAATTCTGGCGATCAACCTTCGAATCTCACTATTCAAAGGCAATTTTTTAATATATGTTTTACAGGCACCATGTTCATGCTTAACTTCAGCTTGAAGCTCGGGAAATGGACCTGTTATCTCTGGCAGATTGCTTCTCGGTTTTCATGACGAAGTTCTGCAGCATCAAGCTTTGTTTATCTCAGCCAGATTCATGAATTTTCGTGGTCTCTTTGGATAAAGACTAACAGCGAGAAAAGTTGCTGAACTGAAAATTTCACTCATAATTGTATTCTGGAAGGCATTGTAAGAAATACATGAAACGATGTGCCATTCTCTTTTATGTTCAATGAATAAAGCGCATCTGAATGGATGATCTGTGATGCAATGGCGCTCATCAATGTTTTCAGAAACTTACTTGCACCTTTATGGGCTTTCAATAATTACTTGGCTTCAATGTTATGATTGTTACCATATTGTATCCGTGTTGGTTTGTAATTATCGGCTCAGAAACTGCAGCCTGCATAGGGCATGAAACTGGAACCTCAGTAGCAGTAGTGGTTCAGATTCATGCCCTCTAGTGTGCAAAAAGAATTGTTGAAATCCAGATTTGGATGCGGTTATGATATGATAGCAGAATTGTATGTTGTAACAGAGTAAAAATAGAAGAGCCTTTAAGTGAAATTTGTGTGCTATTCCCTCTGTTTATATTTTAATCACACAGGCGTACTGCAAAACACAGCAAAAGTAACTATGTACTATCAATTATTGTTCTTCGTTGGTAAATTTATCTGAACTCAGAATCCCCAATTTCTCATAGGAGACTTTGTAGTGCTCTGACAGTGAATGCAGCCTTCAGAAAGTTGCAGGTTGTTGAAGCCCTTTGTCAGTTGTTGAAGCATCCTATGTGAAATGTTTCCTTCTGCAATTTGAAGCTATATAGTAACTTCAGCCACCAATAGTAGAAGAAAATTTTATCTGGCATAGCCATAGGACATTTTCATTTAGGATTTTTCTCTGATCACACCACCAATCAACTTTACAAATGGTGCTCTAGTCTGATCACCGCAGAAGAATCCATAGAGACGGTAAGTCCTTTTGCAGAAGGTTCGCCTTTTACAATGAAGTCAATTCATCAGAGATTGCTCATATTTTCACCCAAATCACATGCCACAAAGGACATTTGAAGAAGATACTTTTACTTGCCTCATGTTCAAATTAACAGCTGGGGAGGACATGGGAGAGTGGGACTCACAATAAAGAAACATCACTTTTTGTTCACATTGTCTTCAACAAGTTTAAAGTCCTATAACCCAATCACAAAAAGAAAAGAATGAAGCACAGTCACAAAGCAAAAATCACAAAGTGAGAGAGAGAGAGAGAGAGAGAGAGAGAGAGAGAGAGAGAGAGAGAGAGGGCAAAATGTCTTCTAAAATCCTCTTCCTCCTCTGTTTCATGCTCATCACAGCATCACAAGCGACTCCTCTTTCTCCTAAGCATTCTGAGTCACTGAGGCCACTAATGAAGACCGAGCTCCGGCGAAAGCTCAACAACTTCCAGGTATGCGCCGTGTGCACGTGCTGCGGCGGGCCCAAGCGGGTGTGTGTCGCGTCGCCGTGCTGCTATGCCATCAACTGCAACATACCCAATAAGCCATTCGGGGTCTGCTCGTTCACTCCCAAGGCCTGCAATTGCCTTGGTTGCCATCTCTGAGAGGCTCCTGCTGCTCTTACTGTTCTCCTTGTTTTGCAAGTGGGCACTGTTCCATTGTTGGTTGCATGAGGTTCTGAAGAAGTGGGCATCTGTGTTGGGTTTAGTTATTTTTATTAGCCTGTCTTCATTTCTGGTTGCAAAAAATGGGAAATAATTTGTTTGCAATGGGTGCGATGTGCAATAATCTCTTCTTCTTCTTCCCTGAAATTAGGCAGGGTAGGTAAAAGGAAACGAGGCTTAAAAGAACATTTAGTTTTCAGAACCAGCATCTCAAAAGACAACAAAAACACATGCATCCATCAGCAGTAGTAGGGCGATTTACTTCTAGTCAGACGAAAATATCAAAAATGGGCATAGACAAAGGTTAGATGGCAGGTCGGTGACAGCCATTAAAGAGCCCAATAATTGTCTGCCGTACGACAGGCTCTTGCAAGTGTGCGCTATCAATTATTCACATCCCCATCAATGCGAACCGAAGAAAGAAATGTGTCGAATGTGAAAGCAAGTTAGAAGGGCAGCTACATTTTGCCTCTAGGCCTCTGCTACCCTGGTTCTGATCTCACTCAATACTAAAATCCTCATAAAGATCATAAAATTACCTTGAAGACTGTTTGATATTTGAAGCAAATGAAGGGCTGATGTGCATGACCAAAGAATCCCAACTAGCTGGATAGTTCACATTGACTGGCCGATTTCACACCGCCCCAGTTAGATGTGATAAGAAAATTGCTCGGGGAGGCGTTACAATAATAGCGTTTCCCAAGACTCCTTGACCATTACATGCACAACTGAAAACACAAACGGAAAGCCTGGACTACTCCTATAAATGTTATGTTCATATGGTATACCTGTAGAATTCCCCAATCACCTCTACATCCAAGAATCACTCCTGTAAATGATACGTGCGTATGGTACAATTGTATAAGCCCTCAATCGCCTCCAGATCCAGCAATTACTCCTCAACATATTCCTGTAATTATCTTGAGTTCATCGTATAATGAGAATACCTACGCCATACAAGTTGTGTTGGCCAACCTTACCTCTCTTTCTTATATTTCTTCATTAAGCTTTCTTGTATTCCTTCACTTAACTAGATGCAGAGACCTTGATGCTTGATATGCTCGAAAGAGAATTTCGAAACCTGTTAATAGTTGCATAATACATAATAGAACCCTTTTTTCACCAACTACTAGAACATTCCGAAATTAAAAATGCCTTGGGCTTTGAATTGAATGCTTTCTGAATCATGCAAGAAACAGCTAACAGACAGAAGGTTGAGGCATACCCAATTACTCTTCATAGTATTCCATGACCACGAGTTAAAGGATTCATGATTATGTTGAACATGTAAGGCCATGCTAAACTTGCAAGTAACAAAACGCCATTCTCAACAAACAATCCAAATTTGAGATCTTTTGACAAAAACAAATGCCATTTGATACCCATACACCTTTCAAACCTCGAAAATATCAAATAACAGGATTCCTCTTTTCATAGGATACGAACCAAAATACACAAATTGCAGGACTGCTGATTACAATTACCTTAACATAATGTCAGACTTTTTCGGTTATCTGTTCAGAACTTTTTTTTGTTGAATTTAGTTTGTCATCTTATCATCACTCTGCACATAAAATCACAAACAGAAGAAAGAAAAATGAAAAAGAAATCAACACATTCAGTAGGGAAATAAAATGAATTTCACAAGAAGATATCAAGACAAAAGAATGGCCTTTGGTTTATCATTTCCATATGCCTGCGTCAACGATTCCACCTTGGAGATGCCTGAGCCGCACTTTCACGAGGTCGTGGAGGCTGCTCTGAGCTATTCCTCTTCTTCATGCTTGAGGAGACTGTAGGGCTGAAATAATCATGACTTCTCTGAGGTAATGAAGCAGCTTGTGAGCGTGTTTTTCTCATAGGAACCATACTCTGTTGCTTCTGCAGTGCTGCTCTTCTTGCTGCTGAATTTCTTTGAGTAGAACTAGAATTCCACCTGCTATAATTCACACAACTCTGACTCCTACCAACTTTCTGAAATCTGTTCTCTTTAGGGCTTGGGAAGTTCCTGCTCTCCATAGTTTCAGCCGAGTGCATGGTATCCGCGCCACTGCTAAACCCATCTTCATCGTCGTGTGCTCCAGAAGCTTCAATAGGAGATGAACTAGACATAACCTCACTGCAACAATCACCATCTTGGCCATAACGAAGCATACAATGACCCAGTTGCGGATTGTAATCTTCTCTTGCTGGATTTGCAGATTTAGGATCTTTGGCATTGTTTTCATTAGAGTCCATTAGCAATTGTTTTAAGGGCAGTGGAAGAACAATAGATCTCGGAATTCTAGGAGGGCAATTTGTATCCAAAAGATGGTTTGGACTGGTTTCTTTTCTCCGTAATGGCCCGGAAGTCAGCTTAGGAGATTCAAAGATCTCTGGGGTTGGAATTCCCTGTTCATGGGATGTATTTGCATTGGCTGAATTGTTTGATCCAAGCGCAAACCTAGGTTTTGAATCTATCTGTGAAGATGACGAGAAATCATCATTCTCTCCTTCCGTGGACTTGAAAACACGGCGCTGGGTGAAAGATGCACTTGAGTGCTCACTCTTTTGACCGGAGGACATCAATCGGATGAGAGGTAGTTTAGGTTTACTAAGCTCATCCAAGCTGCCCTCCCAGTGTTGGTGGAACCAATCACGGATGATAGGAATTGGGATTCCAAATTGCATAGAAGAATCCTTCTTCCTTGACAGTGATGAAGAGGACGAAGTTGAGGCAGAAGATTTTGCAGTGGGAGATGTCGCAAGCTTCATGGGATCACAAACCATGAAGGCTAGATTTCCTTGCACATCAAAGCCTGCAGACCCAGGGGACCATGTTACACCATCAGTCGAGAGCTTGATTAGGTTGTCTGTAGCTATCACTAATTTACCCTCGCCAACCACGAGCTCCTTTTTATCTGTATGCCCTAACATGTAGACTATGCTACCCAGGTCAAGTGCTGGATTGCAGCAGGTTTTGATATAATGAGGCTGGTGTCCCTGGGCAGCTGAATCAGCATCCACAGTGTCGAAGCCGACAATTGTGAGGTCAAGAATAGAACTGGTAATAAAAAATCTGCATCAGGAGTTTAAAACAATGTCAGTGCACTTGACAGGGATTTAACACATGCTCATGAATAAGATTATGAGACTCCAAGATCATGTCGCAGAAAACTCAATGAGCATAAAATAATTCAATGAATCAACAAGAATTGTTTATAAAAAGAATACTTTGTTTGCATCAACAAAGGTGCAATTTGTGTTTTATGAACCAGCAAAATGTATGAAACCATCAGCAGATTAATTTAACTTCTATTTGGCATTAACCTCGTTTCACTTCTAGCTTTCACCCCAGTTGCAGACTGAAAACACCCAATCCTAAAATCTATATCAGGTGGCCAAATTATGCAACCCGCAGGCAAAATAACTCATGTCAACAAAAACGCCTCAAAACTCAAGCTTCAAGTTATAATAGCACAATCATGATAACAAATACAATGCCAGTTCCAGGCCTCAGCTAAAAACTTGAGCAGATTACAAAACACCGCCCAAAAGCAAAAGCCATCCAACGCAGAGGAGAAAGTGAGAACCTGAGAGGTACCAAGCAAGCCAAATCTCGACCGCGATTGATTCGAACCTCCGCCGCCTCCGCCACCGCCACCGACGGGATGTTAGCATGCGTAGTGAGCAGAAGACTCCGGTGAATGAGGAACCCAGTTCCTCCGCCGGAGATTTCAGCCATCGCCGGCGACTTGCCGGAAAATATGCTCCCCTTGACTCTCTCCGATTTACCGCCGCCGGAGCAGAAGCACCAGCTGCTCTTGTCTCCCAAAACCCCCATCGATTCCTTCCCCTTCTCGTTTCTTTGAATTTTGATTTCGGTTGTTAAAAGTAAAGGAAAAGATTAACAAAAAAATCCAACCCTAGAAATGCTGCGTTTGGTAGCGTGTCGCCCGCCTGCGAGCGGCGTTTCGGAGCGGGTCGGATCTGGCCGTCACCGGGAAAGGAGGAGTCTGTCGTTGAATAAGACGGGCATTATTTTATACATCACCGAACACCCACTCTTATTAAACCGCTGTCACGCGCAAAATTGAATCGCTATTTAATTAGTGTCACGCTTATTATTAAGGGTGAGCAGAATACATCGATTTACTTTTGATCAGAGGAAAAAATAAATAAGGACAAAATATTAGTCCCGATTAAATGAAATTACTATTATTTATTTATGTTTTACAGAACTTATAATTTCAGATAAAATCAGTAAATACTTAGATAACTATTATAAACTTTTCATCGTTATCAACTTATCATAGAACCGTCGTTTAATTTTCTGACAAAGTATTTTTTTTTTTTTTTGAGAGCTTGCAATGTTTCTCTAATAAAAATTATTCATGACTTTTTTTTTCTTTGTACTCATTGGTTGTTCAGAGAGTGCGAAGATAGACACGAGAATCCTAAGATGAGTTAATGATAATGCTTTGAGAAATCACTTTTTGAGTCAAATTATAAGACAGATTATGATACAAATGATGCATGCCTTTATGTACAGTTAATTTTAGTTAGGATTTCAAGAAAGGACAAATTTTCAAAACCAACCCATTTGATAAACTAATTGCAAAAAACGATCCGTTTCAGATTTATTTAGAAAAACCGGCCTGGTTTCAGCACTGTCGCTGAAACCAGGTCGGTTTTTCTAAAAAACTTTACGAAACTTCACGGGAGTTCAACTCCCGTGAAGTTTTTTCTCATAACAAAACTTCACGGGAGTTGAACTCCCGTGAAGTTTCGGAAACTTTTTTTTAAAAACCGACCTGGTTTCAGCGCTGAGGCTGAAACCAGGTCGGTTTTTGCAAATAATACTGAAATGGGTTTTTTTTTGGGAATAGTTTATCAAATGGGTTGGTTTTGAAAATTTGTCCTTTCAAGAAAACTTATTGTTATAGTTGAATTTCATGAATTTAAATTTAGAACAAATTTTCAAAACAACTCCAAAAAGATTTTTATTTTTCAAAATTCACCCGATTTTATTTATTTATCAAAATCGACCCACTTTTTACCACGTAGGCTTCATGAAGTTCCTAAACAGTCGGGGTTGGCAACCCCGACTGTTTAGGAGGGTGTTAAACCCCAATAGTTCCTAAACAGTCGGGGTTGGCAACCCCGACTGTTTAGGAGGGTGTTAAACCCCAATTAGAACCCTTGAACCCGAAATTTTTATGTCCTAAACAGTCGGGGTTGTCAACAGTCGGGGTTGACAACCCCGACTGTTTAGGAACGTCATTAAGCCCACGTGGCAAAAAGTGGGTCGATTTTGATAAATAAAAAAAACAGGTCGATTTTAAAAAATAAAAAACTTTTTAGGGCTGTTTTGAAAAATTCCTCTTTGAATTTAACTAAGGAGTGCTTTTTAGTACTTTCAAACTTTAAAGGGACCCACTGATCACCTGGTGAATATTTGGGTGTAAAATGATTTGGTTGTTATAATACGAGACAGAGCTAGCTTGCGGTGGAGACATGGGTTGGGCTTGGGTCCGAGCTGGATCCAGGTTGGGGCCACAAAAACGTGAGCATGTTCATTTTCATTAAATCATCGTTATCTTAGCCCTCACTCCCATGACCTATCATTCCTTCTTTAATTGAGCATATCTTCAGCACTAATGAGAATGTGTGTGTTAGCTTTTCAAGTGTTACACAAAATAGGTGTTTGGTTCGACTTCGATCTATAGTTTAAGCTTGGATTCTTGAAGAATGAAGAGGTGCTTGTTGATGTAAGGTGTCCAAAAAAACCCGCCGGTCCGGGTCCGGTCGAGCCCGGCCCGGCCTGCCCGGAAACCCGGGCCAAGTCCGGGCTCCGGGTCGGGCCCGGCCGCCTCTTTGGTGCCCGACCCGGGCCCGGCCCGCCCCGGAATAGTGTTTTTTTATTTTTATTTTTATTTTATATATATATTATTATATATGTATAATATATGTATATATAAATATATATAATATGTATAATATATGTATATATAATATATTTTTATATATGTATAATATATGCATATATATAATATATATATAATATATGTATATATAATATATTTCTATATATGTATAATATGTGTGTATATATATACTCTCTCTTAGTATATAAGTATACTCTCTCTTATATAAGTATATATAAATATACTTTCTCTTATATAAGTATATATAAGAATACTCTCTCTTGTATATGTATAATGTATATGTATGTATATATAATACACTCTTTACTTATAGTAATATGTATATTATAATATACCTCTCTTATATAAGTATATATAAGTATACACTCTCTTATATATGTATAATATATGTGTGTATATATATATACTCTCTCTCTTAGTATATATGTATATATAAGTATACTCTCTATTATATATGTATACTCCCTCTTATATAAGTATACTCTCTCTTAGTATATATGTATATATAAGTATACTCTCTCTTATATAAGTATACTTTGAAAGTGGTTGTATAAATTGAAAATAAAAGGTGATTTCTATAAAATTACACTATTGTTAAGGTGGTTTCTAGGGGAAAAAACCTATTATAAAAACCCCTTAACTTTGAATGATTATCAGAAAACGCCGCTTCACTTTGAAAATATTAGCATTAGGGATTATCATAAAATTTCTTTTACCTTTGAGATTTTATCAAAAACCAACCCCCCCCCAAACCCCACCCCCACCTAAAAAAAAGTAGGAGGCTTTCTAATAAAATTTCAAAGTTAGAGAGAGTTTTCAAAATCTAAAAGTTAAATGGGAGTTTTGTGATAATCCCTATACTTAAGAGGGATTTTTCTGATATTTTGGAAGTTAAGGGGGTTTTTCGATATTCGTCCAGAGTTAAAGGGAGTCTTTTGATATTTACATCATGTCATGATTCATGCACAGCAGGAGATGTTTGTCCAAATAAAGGATATGTTGGCTCAGCTCCTTGCAGAGAAAATCCAAAAGTCTGAATCCTCCCGGAGGACAATTTCAAAGGGAAAACAGAAGGCGCACGAGAATACGGATCGTAAGACTCACAACCTAAAGTCTTCCTCCGAAAATGAGAAAGAAGTTGATAAAGAACAAAATCCTCCGTCATCCAAAATGGACGAATTAGAGGCTCGCCTCAACACAATTGCCAACAGAAGCGAACTTCATGAAGAAGGAGTAGTACGACCTTACCCCGCGAAATGGAACGCAGCTCCCTATCCATCAAAATTTAAGGCCCCAACTTTGTAACCTTTCGACAATACGGGATCACCAAATCAACACGTCTACTACTTTAAGTCGTAGACCAGAGACGTAGTGGCAAATGACGCTATTCTGACCCGATTGTTCATTGGCACCCTTAAGGGCATTGCTTTCGAATGGTTCATGAAGTTGTCTGCTGGGTCTATTCAAAAATGGGTAGATCTAGAAAGGCTATTATTAGCTAGATTTTTTTAGGATGATACAGAAGTATCTATCCTGACCCTTCTCACCACCAAGCAGAGAAATGGAGAATCTATCAAGGCTTATGTTGAAAGATTCCGTAGTATGGCATTGCGATGCCCATCAGGTATGACTCAATCTACTTTGGTTGATACTTGCAAGCATAACTTATAGACTCAGCTCCTTGCTCAAATGGGGGTAGCGGAATGTCGCTCCTGGAGACAATTGGTTTCGTAAGGAGAACAAACTAAAGAAATCGTTGCTCGGGTCAAGACTGAGGAGGTTACTCAACCAAAGCTACAACAGTAACGCAACCAAAACAATGCTCCTCGATTTAAGGGAAAGGAGACTTTGGCTGCCGATTCCAGCACACGAGCATCACCTGCTAAGAAAGGCAAAACACTGAATCAGCAAAGAGCGCCCAAGCAATACTCGTTTAAAGAGGAGCATGTGGACACTTTGTTCCAGCTACTTCAGAAAAAACAATAAACTGTAACTTCCCGAGATCAGGAAATCAGATGAGGCAGGAAAAGCGGATGACCCTAATAACTACCGTTATCACAGGTTTCTGGGGCATCCTACCAGAAAATGCTATGTTTTTAAGGATGTCCTACAAAATTTGGTGAATGCCAATGTGCTCACATTGAAGCCTGAGCAGAAGACTGTATCTACTAATTTGATAGCGGTCCATTTCGGCGATTTCCCTCCTATAACAGCTGCAGATGGAGTTATTCCCGTCCATAAAGGAAAAATACATATGAAGAACACTAACCCACACGGTCAGAAAGATAAAGGATTAACTCCCTTTACTACTCCAAAAGGGAAGATTATGCGGGTCCATCCCGATCTGGTTGAAGACTAATAGTGGACGAACACCTCGTCCAAAAAGAAAAGAGGCAAGGCTAAGTTATCCAATATGATTATCCCCTCTATTAATGAGGATGATGATTACCTCAAACCTCTCACTGATTCAGAAGAAGAGAGAATCGTTCTTACAGCAGACCAAGGAGGCAACCCTGGCACCCGATCAGGAAACGCTTATCTAAGAAACTATGATCAATGTGCTCAAGAAATAGAAGAACAACCTTAAGACGCTGGGGGTTCTGTCCCTCATAAGTCAACCGACAAAGGGAAACAGAAAGAAACCTGATACAATAAAAACCTTTTCCAGGAACCCGGAGAATCAAGCACTCCTTTCTGATTCAACGACATGGCGCAGTTGGCCAACATACCGGCCATGATTACCTTATACGAACTCCTGCGATTATCTAAAACCATAAAGAAAGCCCTAATTGAAGCCTTAACGAATGCGGAAAGCTTTATTACACAGGTTACTCCGACTCTTGAAGCTTCGGAAGCCAAGATATGTATACAATATCTACAAGCAGCAAGAAGTTTACCCTGCATATCATTCACTCAGGAAGATATACAAGTCAAACATAAGCATGACAGGCCTTTATATTACACAGGGTATATTGGGTCTTCGGAGATCAGTCGTGTCCAAGTTGATCTAGGCTCAGCACTTAACATTATGCCTTACAGAGTCATGTAGGTCTTAGGGATTCTCACGCATCGGTTAAACACCACCCAGACTATCATCTTCGGTTTCAATACCAACAGCACTCAGCCC